GCAGCCAATATTGGAAGCTCAAACCATCAAAGCTGTGGAAGAGCTCAAGTCTGCTATTCAATTTCAGTAAGTGAATCTTTCAACTTGGAAAACCCAGAAAGCCTACGAATTGATCTAGTTTGCCAATCTTCTCATTATCTTCACTGTTTCGGGTAGTGTGTTGGTGAAATTTATGGTGTGTTTGGCATGACTTCTGTCTGATATTTATTTATCTTCTTCATGCTCAATTTTTTCAGGGGAAAAGGTGCAATGCAGAAGAGAGTGACTGCTCTTCGGGAACTTAGGCGTTTACTGTCTAAATCCGAGTTCCCTCCCACTGANGTTGCGCTCAGTGCTGGTGCAATACCTTTACTTGTGCAGTGTCTTTCATTTGGCTCTCCTGACGAACAGGTTTCTTACATTGGCCTTATATGTGCTTCTATGCTATCCCTTTATTATTGGATATATTTGCTTATATTTACCCAGCCCTTCACTGTAGATCTTGGATATTGTCGGTCTTATTTATAGCGATAGTTGAAGTTACTCATATGCATTGAAATAAGTCAAATTAAGGAGGTTTGAAATAATTTGATCCCAGTTCCGTCTCACTGCAGTTACTTGAGTCAGCTTGGTGTCTTACAAACATCGCTGCTGGAAAACCTGAAGAAACAAAATCTCTATTGCCTGCACTGCCGATGCTCATTGCGCATCTTGGAGGTTTGTACTCGCTCAAAACCTGTTATTACTCTCTTTTTTTGTTGCATTAGTTTTCTTATGCTTCCAAGTTTATATTCAGAAAAGAGCTCTGCACCAGTGGCTGAGCAATGTGCATGGGCAATTGGTAATGTTGCGGGTGAAGGAGAAGATATGAGAAATGTTCTTTTGTCTCAAGGAGCTTTGCCACCTCTAGCACGTAGGATTTTTCCCGACAAGGGTTCAACAGTAAGAACAGCTGCATGGGCATTGTCAAATTTGATTAAGGTGTGAAATAGTCTGGCGGCGCGCATTTTATCACATTGGTTAATGATCACAAAGCAGATGTTACATAGTAATCTCACAATGCATTAATGTAGGGACCTGAACCAAAGGCGGCAGCACAACTTGTCAGAGTGGATGGGATAGTTGACGCAATTCTCCGACACTTGAAGAAAATGTGAGCAAAGTTATCTTGTTGTGATGTCTTGCTTCTTACTGATTCTTGAGCTCATACAGGTCTTTTGTATGCCATTCATATTATATTGTTCAACTTTGGTGGATAATTTGATCAAAATATTATTGATTGTTGGATTCAGGGATGAAGAAATTGCCACGGAAATTGCATGGATCGTTGTTTACCTTTCTGCCCTCTCAGATATCGCTACAAGTATGCTTTTGAAGGGAGGCATTTTTCAACTACTTATTGAAAGATTAGCAACTTCAAATAGTCTACAACTTCTCATCCCGGTAACTTTCGAACAGACCTTATTGTTAGAAAAAAAAAGGATTCTAGTTAGTATTGAGTTCATATATTACCACGGCTTATGCTATTCGAGGATTTTTTTCCAGGCCCATTGATTTCATTTATGCACATATTAGCATGATTGATTAAAAACAGAATACTTACTACATGCTATTCTTTCTGCATTTTGTATTCTATCTAAAACTAAAGTTTGAATTCAGGTTCTACGAAGTTTAGGCAACTTTGTCGCTGTTGATTCCAAAGCAATATCAACCATCCTTATCTGTGGACAGAACACCGAAGGCTAGTATCTGTTTTTTCTTTCGGTTGAAACACCATTAGCTTAATCATTTATCTTGTTCAAGATACTGATATTCTGAATCAAATTCCAGAAAGTGTCATTGGTGTGCTTACAAAGTGCTTAAGAAGCGAACACCGTGTCTTAAAGAAGGTCAATATCACATACACACTTCGCTTTGTGTTCTTTTATCTGAAGATTTCATTTTTTTCATCAGTGAACTCAATTTTGTAGGAAGCTGCGTGGGTGTTATCTAATATAGCTACGGGAACTGTTGAACACAAGAAAATGATACATTCTACTGAAGCAATGCCATTGCTGCTACGGCTTCTGTCCACATCACCGTTTGATATAAGGAAAGAAGTTGCCTATGTCTTGGGAAATCTATGTGTAGAATCTGTAGAAGGAGACACGAAACCAAGGATAATTCAAGAACACTTAGTCTCCATTGTCAGTGCCGGTTGCCTCCCGGGTTTTATTGACTTGGTCAGATCTCCTGATATCGAAGCTGCTAGGCTTGGTCTTCAATTCATTGAACTGGTAAGCCACTAACTAAATGGTCTTAAAAGCTAAATGAGACCTGAGTTTGCTTCTAATGTTGATGTCGCATAGTCATTTTTGGATCTAGAATATACTGATGGGTTTTGATTTATGGGTGGTAGGTTTTAAGAGGAATGCCAAACGGAGAAGGTCCAAAGCTTGTGGAAGGAGAAGACGGTATTGATGCAATGGAAAGGTTCCAGTTCCATGAAAACGAAGAGCTAAGAGTCATGGCTAACAGTCTTGTCGATAAATACTTTGGTGAAGATTATGGAATCGATGAATGAAATCGTCTTTGATTTTAGGTAAACCCTGTGGGGAATACAAAGAAACTCAGATGATGGATTCAAAGGAAACCAGTCATCATCTGAGTTTGAGATTGAGAGTAGAGTAGACATGTTCAGGGTTTGGTTCCTCTTTGGATTGTTGTAACTTGTAATACTACAGTTTTGTCTCACGTTTGGGGTTGTTGTGTTAGTGTTACAAACGAGTCAGTCAGTAAATGGTCAATGCTTCTTATTGGTGCAGAAAGTTAACTCTAATCAATTCATTAACATTATACAGATTTTCGTAGATTTGAAAATCCCATTATAAGCTATAATGGATTTGATGATTTTAAAATATGGTGTTATTTTATTTGTTCATTTATTTTCCTGTGCATATACTTTCATAAGACCAACATATGACAATTGATAAGTAAATAACTGTGTTTTTGTTTAATGAGAGAAAGAACAAATGTTTGGATAAGTTAAGTTTAGGGAAATTGAGTTCAAAATAAAAATAAAAATTATAATTCAAACCATAACTATTTGCCCTAATTCTAATCGATGTCATTAAGCCAAATAGAATCATTTTAGTTACTTAATGGATTATAATTTTTTTATTATTATTCTTGCAAATGATCCTTAAGTTTATCACTAAACAAATAATTTTTTTCCGACTAAACATTTACATTGATTCATATCGAATTACAAAGTCAATATACCAAATTT